AAGAGTTCTATCATGTTATGGTCAGTTTTCTCTAAGAACTCTGCAAACAAAATTATTAATTAACACCTTCTCATTGCACAATGCCAAAGCTAACCTAGCCTGTCCCCACGTTGGTTCCTCAACATACTGGTCTAAAAACAATTGTATACACACACTCCAGAAATTTGTTTACAACAGTATAATTATTAATGTAGTTTGTCCAGTCTTCATGCAGATTGAAGTCACCCATGATGACTGTAGCACCATTGATGCATATTTCTCTAATTTCCTGCTTAATGCTATCCCGTCCCTTGCCACTGCTGCTTGGAAGGCTATAGATGAATTCTACAAATGTTTTCCACCCATTGTTGCTTGTTAGCTTGACCAGGACTGATCCTAAATTTGGATTTTCTAAGCCAGTATCCTTTCTCACTATTGCTTGATTCGTTCCTTACTGATAATGCCACCACTTTTCCATTATCACTCCTCTACTCAACACCTCACCACCCTCTGTCCTTGAAAACCTGGATGTATTCAACCCTCCTTTCCCTGTCCAAAGTATTTGAATATGTTGCTGCTTCTTGTCCATTACCATCTTTCCAAAAATACCATGTTTGAAGCTTTCTAAACAAGTTTCAGTTGCTGTCATTAAAGCAAATGACCCCATTCAAAGTTTGATTTCACTTATTAGTGTTACATGTACTGAGATACAGTGAAAGGTATTGTTTTGCATGCTAACCAGACAAATCATATCTTACATAAGTACATCAGGGAAACAAAATAGAATGCAGAATATAGCGTTGCAGCTACAGAGAAGGTACAGAGAAAGATAACAGTAGGGAAGAAGCTGTTCTTAATTATGGTGGTACATGTTTTCAAACTTTTGTATCTTCTGCCCAATGGAAGTGTGTGGAATAGAGTATAACTGGGGTAGCAGGATCTTTGATTATGTTGCCTGCTTTCCCGAGGTAGCAGGAAGTGTTGGCAGAATCACTGGATGGAAGGCTGGTTTTTGTGATGGACTGAACAAGCCACAGATTACATCTTCCATAGCCCTGATGCATTATTCATTCCCCTTGACATTTCAACAAACACAGCATCCTCCAACTGCTCTCACTTTTGGTAGTGGATTTATTTAATTGTAGCTAAAGCTTTTCTTAAAAATATCCTGACTCTCCCTGTCTTCTCCCAAAATTGCCATTCCCCTTCCAAACACCATTTCCTCTGAAATGCCCCAAGAATCTGTCCTTTGCTCCTTTCTATTTTTGGCAGCATGTTGCACTCTGGTGACATCATTCAGTGACGTGGGGTCAGCCTCCACCTGTACCCAGACCACATGCTGCTCTACTCTCCTGCTTCTGTACACTGCTTCTGTATTGTTTGATTGTTTGTCTAACATGCAGTCCTGGATAAGCCATAATTAACTCCAATTAATAATATTGAAGCCATTATCCTTGGCTCCCTGCAAATCTCTATACTCCCGCTGTTGAATCCATCTTTCTTCCAGTTACTGTCTCAGACTGGAACAAACTGTTTCCAACCGCAGCATTGCTTTCAATCGCAAGCTAATACCTGGTTTTCCCTATCACAAGAGGGATTTGCTTTAGTCACCCGTTACTGACTGTATTTCAGTTCATCTATGGCTAAATCCATCATCCGTACTTTTGACACCCAAATATTCAATAACTTCAGCTGTTCACTAGACCAGCCAACATTCTCATAATCAGATCATCCATTGAGGTGTTGAGTGGCCTACTCCCCTTAAATTGTATCCTTTTATCCTGTTTAGCGTGCAAAACAATACTTTTCACTGTATCTTGGTTCATGTAACAATAAATCAAATCAAATTGTATGATCACCCTTCTCCACTTCATTACATTCAAATACTCCTTGCTTGTATCCTGCAAGTGTCAATCTCCCATCACAGCCTCCTTGCTGAACTACTGCCTGCTGGTTCTTGGATACTTAAAATCTTATGTTATCATCCTTGTATGTGAAGCCTCAAACTCTCGAATCTCACTAGTCTTTGACTTGTCTTCCAGAATTCTGGATTTGTATGAATCCCATTCCCTTCACCTCACCAGTGATAGACTTGCCTTCTTGGACTATATGCGCTGGAATTTCCTACCTAAATTTTCCCAACTCTGTCTTCCTTTAAGACCGTTGTGGAAATTCCATCTCATAAACCTCTCATAATATGTTAGCACTTGAGTTTTACTATAATGGGTATATATTGAGACATTAGAACAGGGTTTGTCATTCAGCTGAATGAGTGAGATTCAGCGAAATCACGACTGATCTGCAACCTCACACTCCTCATTCAGCTTTGCCAATATTCAGGGGAGATAGTGGCATAGTGATAATGTCACTAACCTAATAATCCAGACAACACAGGTTCAAATCCCACTAGAACAGTTGGTTATATTTAAATTCAGTTAGTAAAAGTTTGATTATAAACCTAATCTCAGTAATGGTGATGATCATTAACTGATGTAGAAACCTATCTGGCTCATTACTGTCCCTTGGGGAAGGGTATCTGCCATCCTTACCTAGTCTGGCTTATGTGACCCATATCCAAGGAAAAAATACATAAATAACTAAAGCTATTTGGCATTTATTTAACACAAGTCTATCAATCGCATGTAAAATTTGCAATGGATTTAGCATCAATTGTTATCAGATGAGGAAAGATAGAAACTACTTCAGTGAAAGAATTTTGAATGTTTGTAATTCTGTATCCTGGGGGTTGTAGATATTCCGTTGTTGAGAATGTTTGAGGCTGAAATGGACAGATTTTGATCTCACCGAATCAAGAGATATGGGGAGTGAGCAGCAACATGGAGTGGTGACAGAAATTCAGTAACGATTATGTTAATTGGTAGAGCAGATTCAGTGAGTTGTTTGTTCTACTCCATTCCTATTTCTGAAGTTTTTATATTCTTATGGTACTGAGCATCTCCTGTAATTGAGCTGCACTCATCCAGTAAATATAGAGCATTCTATTTTGGTCTTTTTACATGTTAATGGGATGTGGGTGATGCTATGCCAGCATTCATTGCTCATCCATAATCAGTTTGGAGAAGCTGGAGGTGAGCTGCTGTAGTCCACGTGGTATAGGTGGACTCAACAGTGTTGTTAAGAAGGGAGTTCCAGGATTTTGACCCAACAACAGTAAAGGAATGGATGCATTTCCAAGTCAGGAAGGTGTGCGGCTTGACAGGGAACTTGTAGGCCAAGGTGTTCCCATGTATTTGTTCCTTTTGTCTTTGTGAGTTGGTAGATGTTGCGGGTTTGGAAGGGGCTGATGAATGAGCTTTGGGGAATTGTGCCTTGCAGATGCTGGACAGGCTGTAGTAAGTTTGTTGCTGCAGAGTTTGCAGTCTCGGTCTGCTGTTGTAGCCACAGTAACTCTATGGATGCCATCCAGTTAAAATTCTAATGAATGCTAAATCCTAGGATGTTGATGGAGGTTAGTTGGAAAATGTAGGTGGGAATGTAAACTGCATTGAAAACACAGAGCAACTGTAAAGAGATACAGACAGGTTAGGTGAGTAGGCAGCAAGATGGCATATGAAGTCTAAAATGGATACATGTTAAGTTATTCATTTGAGTCATAAGAATAGAAAAGTAGAATATTTTGATGCTGATCTTCAAAGAGATTTAGATTTGCTCTTACAAAGCTACACAAAAAAGATAGCATGCAAATACAGCAACCAATTAGAATGGCAACTGGCATATTGGTCTTTATTGGGGTGCAGAAAAAGAGATCTTGTTACAATTGTACAGGATTTTGAGATTAAATCTTGAATACTGTGTCCAGTTTAGATCTCTATATTTAACGAGGGACAAAGCTGCATAGGAGCTAGAATAGCAAAGCCTCGTGGGATTGGTCTCTGGACTGGGGTTTGGCAGGGATTGTGATGAGAAGTTAGGTGGTTTGAGCCCATATTTTCTGGAGTTTAGAAGAATGAGAGGCATCAATCTCATTGAAACTTACACGACTGTAAAAGGGCACAGTAGGCTAGATAGACACATGGAGGCATAGTCTCAGAATAAAGGGCCAATTGTTTTGGATTGAGGTGAGGACAATTTATTTCACTTTTTGAATCTTTAGAATTCTCCACACTGGAAAATCGTGGATGCTCCATCATTAAATATACTTAAGTCTGGGATAGACAGGATTTTGGTTTCTCAGGGAATTGAGTGGGAAAGTGGAGCTGAAGCCTACAATAAGCTGTAACCCTAATAAATGCAGAGCAGGCCTGATGAACTATACGTTCTCCCCCTGCTCCTATTCTATGTGTTCTATGATGTCGGTGATTCAGCAATTTAAATAATGTCTGTGGGAGATGGTTAGATTCCCTCTTGTTGGAGATAGTCCAGCACTTGTGAAGCACAAATATTCCTTGTCATTTATCAGCCCAAGTCTGAATGTTATCCTGGTCTTGCTGTTTATGAGCATGGATTGTTTCAGTACTGAAGAGTTGCACTTGGCAAATCTTTGTACCTCTCCAAGGACTTGACAATTTTCCTCAGTATGGTACGCAAGGTTGCATAGAATAGTTGTCATTGAGAGGCAGCATTTAAAGACAACTAAGGATGGATCTTGGGACACCCTGGAGATTACCATAGTGGGGGCTGAAAGAGAAGCAGGAAAGGGTGCAAGCTGTGGAATACAAGCGAGACGTAGCAGAGGAGGATGATATGATTCACCGAATCACATTTTGTAGACAGATATCACTTCAGTTTAAGGAGATCGTGTCAAATGCTATTTCGACGCAGTATATAGGAAGAAAACCAGAGTAAAGGGATCTGAATAGTGAGTGGTAAGGTAGGGAGGTCATGTCAAGTTCAAAGATTTTAGATAAGAAGAAAAGGTAGAGCTTGCTGTGGTTGTTCAAAAGGATGAATATCACATAATAAAGCCATATGTGAGGTACATGTTTCACATGACACAGCACATGGAACACAAAAGCAATCTTGGTCAGACACTGAGGTTTTGCAAAAGTTTTAATTTTCTCTCCAATTTTATTTTTGCCTAAATTCACATGAACATGTAATACTTTGTTTTTCATTTACAGGAGACATTAGAAACTGCAAACATTTTATACCTGGTGCCAATAATTTGAAAATAATTGGCTAAAATACTCGCAGACTCCAGGCAACACAGTCTTCATACAACTGAAATCAGGACTGGTAACTCCTGATGCAGTGACCAGCACATTACTTTCATCGCAGACTGGCTGAAGTTTATACACCGTGACCACCGTCTCCATAGCACAGGACTGGACCACACACTCTCACCATGAAAAAGAGCAGCAGTGTCCTAGCTGTGAATGCAGAAGATGTAAGTACAACAAATTTAAACAATGCATTGTATTTCAGAATAAGAACATAATAAAAAGGCCATTCAGCCCTGTGAGCTCACTGCACCTTTCAGTGAGATCACGACTGATTTACTTCGATATCATTTTGCGTTGTTATCCCCATATCCCTTGAGATTGCATTGCTCCCTGATGCCCAGTTTGGCTTCCGCCAGGGCCACTCTGCCCCCCGACCTCATTATAGACTTGGTTCAAACATGGATAAAAGAACTGAATTCCAGAGATGAGGTGAGAATAACAACCCTTGACATCAAGGCCACATCTGATTGATTGTGAAATTAAGGAACTGTAGCAAAAGTGGATTTATTGGGATTCAGGGCAAAGCTCTCCAATGGTTAGAGTCATACGTGGCACATAAGATGATGGTTGCAGCTATTGGTCAGTCATCTCAGCTCCAGGATCTCTCTCCAGGAGTTGCTCAGTCTAGTGTCCTCAGCCCAACCATCTTTAGCTGCTTCATCAATATCCTTCCTTCCATCATAATGTCAGAAGTGGGGGAGTTCGCCAATGATTGCACAATCTTCAGCCTCATTCACAACTCCTCAAATACTGAAGCAGCCTATGCCAAATGCAATGGGACCCAAACAATATCCAGGCTTGGGTTGAAAAATGGGAAGTAACATTCGCACCACACAAATGCGAGGCTGGACCACCAGAACACCTCCCTGCTGAAACTGGCTGCCCACAGCCACAGAGCACTCAGAGTGTTAAGTGACTAAGAATGAGACCTCTCCCCACATGGTCCACCTAGGGAAGAAATGCCACCTTACAGTTCTGCAGGCCCTTTGGATTGCTGGTGGCACTGTAGTCCCAGCAGCCTAGGTTCAAGTGATGGCCACTGCTGGGACTACAGCCAGTTCCTGAAGGAGGACAAATGGAGGGTGGACTGAAGGATGGCAATCTGGAGTTTTGGCAGGCCCTTGGATATGGGGGCGCTGAGTTTGAGAGACTGTGAAGGTGGCAAGGGGGGAGTTCTAATCTCACTGGGGGTGGGTGGATAATATATTTTTAATTAGCTCAGGATATCCACAATGGATCTGCGTGGTACCTGACACTAAAGCTGCTGGTCTTGCCAGATTAAAATGAGCCTCCCTTTCTTGCATGTGTAACAGCAATGGGAGTCAGAAGTGAGGCTCTCAATAGAGTCAAGGAGTAGGAAAGAGAGTCAGGAAACGGGAGTGAGTTGGGGAGTGGGAGAGAGTCAGGGATAGGGGAGTGTTGGGGAATGGGAAATAGTCAAGGAGACAGGGAGACGGAGAGAGAGATTTGGGATACAGGAGAGAGTCAGGGAGAGAGAGAGGTTGATGGGGTGAGAAAGAGTTGGGGAATGGTACAGGCTGCTCCAAAACAGTGCCATTAAGTCACAAAACATTATATTGGCCCTGGCACGAAACAATGCTGAAGCAGAAGTCCCGCTAAATGCGCATAAACTGCCCCGTCATATGTGCAATGTTAAAGAGCAATGGCGCTGAATGAAACAATTTAAAACTGGGCTTACAGTACTTCTCTTTTGAACTCGCACAAAGCTCTCCATCTGTCTTGGAATCTCATTTCTGACTCTGAACATTTGCTTGCAATTCCTAATCTTGCCTGGTCAACATCTGATATCCTTTCCACTATTGGTGAAGATTCATGGGGTGCTCTTTGTGATAAATGGGCAATTTAAATGCAATTGTTCAAACTGTTTCAAAATACAGAGGTAGCCATTTTACAAATGTCTGACTTAGAATTTCTGATATTTAGGAACGGGATCCTGCTTGTGAACTCATACTTACAAACAAATATTTTACACTTATGTATTGTGTTCTGACTTCTGTACCAATTGACTTATGGATGTACTCAGGAATGAAACCTGCTGTGTTACCTGGGATCCTTGCGTACATTGAAAAGTGCAGTATCAGATCACGAACACAGAATGCTTCAGAATGTCACAGAATGCTGTGACACCCCCTGGTGAAAGGAAAGCTGAACTGCAGTAACTGTGACCCTGAGGTCTGAGACAAAATTCAATAAGAAAACTGAGTCATTAATCTAAATTTGGAATAAATTAAAAGTTTTTTAGAGTGCATCTAAGTTTGAAAAAAATGACCAATCTCAACAATGAAATTTTATAATATTCATTATTAATGGATTGATGGAAATACCATTCATTTTTTCATTCTTGTCTGTAAAGATGTGCCTGCAGTCAGATAGTGTTTGTTCTGTGGTTAGCATTGTAAGTGCTCCTCCTGCAGTTTCCATCAGAGGACCTTACAGTATTAGTAAGCCTGGATTGCCCTTTGAAAGGGGTTACATTGTTCTGTTAAAAGGGATATTTGTTGTTGAGAACAGAAAAGCAGCATGTTATTTAAACGGAGAGAGAGACGGCAGAACTCTGAGCTACAGGGGGTCTGGACATCCTGATGCATGAATCACAAAATGTCAGTATGCAGGCACGACAAGTGTTTCAGGAGACAAACTGAATATTGTTGTTTATTGCAACAGTAATAGAAAATAAAAGTTGGGCAGTTGTACTACGGTTGTGGAGAACATTGCTAAGGCCACATCTGGAGTATTACTTAGTTTTTGTCTCCTTATTTAAAAAAGAATGTAAATGCATCAAAAGCAATGCAGAGAAGATTCACTCGACTGATTCCTGCAGTGAGGGAGTTACTTAATGAAGAAAGGTTGAACACGTTGAGCCTGTAACCATTGGTGTTTAGAAGAATGAGGGGTGATCCTACTGAAACATAAGATCCTGAGGGGACTTGACAGGCTGGGTGCTGAGAGGATGTTTTCCCTTGCGGAGGAGTTCATGTCGAGGGGACACAGTTTAAAAATAAGATGGCAATGAGGAGGAAATATCTCTCTGAGGATCATGAATCTTTGGAACTGTCTTCATAGGGAGCAATTGGGGCTGGGTCACTGAATGTGCTCAAGGCAGGTAGATAAATTCTTAACTAAAAAGTAATTGAAATGATTTCAGGGATAGGCAGAAATGTATGTTTATGGCTGTGGTCAAATCAGACATAATTTTATCAAATGATAGCATAGGCTAGAGGGGCTAAATGTCCTACTGCTGCTACTAAATTGTCTGTTTCTATGTTCATACATTGCTGCTTCTTATTGACAGTATCACTGTATTTTGCATCACTCTCAGTGCCTGTGGATTACAATCACATACAGCAAACTTTTTATTAACTGACACCTATGGGACCAGAAGTCTGCTGGTTGATAAAATATTCTGGTTGATCAGCCAGCGCACCCCTGGTACCATAGGTGCCAGTTAATAAAAAAGTTTGCTGTACTCTATTTACAGCATAAATCACTTAAATAATAATGCAACTTTGCCTTAAATAAAATTTATAGATCATAACATAAATGTAAATTAGACTTAAACATTATCACTAGGATCAGTGTCAATCACATGACTAGGATCATCAAGATCAGTCACTACCATGCAAGGATCACCACCTGGTTCAGCATTTTCATTATGAGGATCACCAGAACCCTTATGAATCAGCACTTTCTTAAACAAATCCTGAATGTCAGCTTGCTTAAAATAATCTTGTTTTTTCTGTAAGAATGTAGAGTGCAATAAATGTAGCCGAATGACATCTTGCACGGTGTAGCAATTTTGAGTTTCAGCAAATTTAAGCACCACCTGAAATGCCTCTGCAGCCTTAGCCCAAGAAACCCTCACTTCATGCAATTCTTCGTCAGTTTCTCTTTCAGATTCTCTCTCTTTTGTTGGATTCAAGACACTCTTAATTATTTCATCATCACTTAACACATGCACAACACTAACATCTTTATCAACATCAACCCATAGTTCCAGTTCTTGTTCACTCAATTTACACATAGGATTTTCATCACTTCGCACATTTTTCATCATCAAAGCCATTTCCATGACTGTACTTTTCTTCTGACGAATTCTGAAATCTTTGAATTCTTCATCTGAAGATAAACTTACATTAGGCCATAATTTATGCCAAGCACGCCTTAAAGTCTGTGGTTTAACCAACTTCCAAGCACAAGCTAAGTTATACACTGCATCTTTCAAACTATACGCCTTCTGAAACTCGGTAATCTTTTCATTATTGCTCAAAAGTTTACGTAAGAAGTCTTTTCTGTAGTGACACTTTAAATTTTCGATGATCCCTTGGTCCATGGGCTGGATTAACGCAGTTACTTTCGGTGGCAAATAGATAACAAAAATATTTCCTGACACCAATTTCGACTCCGGAGGATGAGCTCTACAGTTGTCTAGCAATAAGATACACTTGCTGTCTTCGGGTTTTCCATTCTTTCTGAAATGCTGCTTAACTGAAGGCACAAAAATGTAGTGAAACCAATGAGTGAATAATTGAACGTCCATCCATGAATTACTCTGAGCACTGTATCTAACAGGCAGATGACGCAAATTCTTGAAAGCACATGGATTCTTGGATTTCCCGACGACAAAAAGTTTTATCTGGTGAGTTCCAGCGGCGTTGGCGCAAACGAGGACTGTTATCCTGTCTTTATTCTTCTTAAATCCAGCAGCGCTAGCTTCACCAGATCCTGCAAGAACTGATTCGGGAAGGCATCTCCAGAACAGCCCGGTCTCATCAGCATTATAGATCTGGTCGGGTGAAAGACCGTGTTCAGCAACGATCTTTGCGAAATGATCACAGTACGATCCCGCAGCTTCGCAATCAGCTGCTGTGTTCTTCCCTGACATGTCAAGGTGCCGTATCCCATGCCGTAATTTAAAACAAGTGAGCCAGCCTTCAGAAAAGGCACAAGACTCTGTCAGCTGCAGCTTGGTGTAGAACTCCTTGGCCTTCTCAATCAGGATTGTCCCTGTCATCGGAACCCCCTGGAGGCGCTTCAGGGCAAACCACTCGTACAGCACTCTGTCAAGTTCCTCGAGTTTAGGTTTCTTCAGTGTGCGCCTCTTATCCGCACTCCTGCTGCTCTCTGAAGATGTGTAAAACTTCAGCAGTTCCTCCTTCTGGTGCTTTATGTCATAAATGGTGGACGAGCCAATGTTGAACTCGTTCATGATCTGACTGCGCTTCTCTCCCTTCTCAAGCCGCTGACATATTTCTATTTTCTGCTTGAGTGTCAGTACCACACGTTTACGTTTGCTGCCTGTGCCGGCTTTTGAAGTTTCCATGACGGCAGATGGGCAATTCACAAAAACCGCCAACACTTTCTGACTGTCCCAAACAATATGGCGGAACAGGAAGCAGGAAGGTGCCAAGTGCGCCACTTATCCGGCAGTGGGGGAAATACGGAACTACCGGCAGTCAGCCTTCTCACACTCACTGGCCGCTAGCTTATCGCTTTTGCCGGTTTATCGAGAGTGCCGGGGTTTTGTGTGCCGATTAAAGTGAAGTTATGCCATCGGGTCGTAGAGATGTACAGCACTGAAACAGATCTTTTGGCCCATCTCGTCCATGCCGACCAAATATCCTAAATTAATCTAGTCCCAATTGCCAGCATTTGACCCATATCCATCTAAACCCTTCCTATTCTTATACCCATTCAGGTACCTTTTAAAAACAGACCCATGGTCTGTTGCTGCGCCCCTTGCTGAGATATTTGTATCATGGACAGCCACAGATGAGGTGTGGGAAGACTGGAGGTTGATTAATGTAGTGTCACTATTTAAGAAACGGGATAAGGAAAAGCCAAAAACTGTAGACCGGTGAGCCTGACATCGGTTGTGGACAATTTGTTGGAGGGGATCCTGAGGGACAGGATTTACATGTATTTGGAAAGGCAAGAACTGATTAGGGATAATCAACGTGGTTTTGTGCATGGGAAATGGTGTCTTACTAACTTGATTCAGTTTTTTGAAGAAGTAATGAAGCGTATTGCTGAAGGCAGGGCAGTGGATGTGATCTATATGGACTTCATTAAGGCATTCAACAAGGTTCTGCATGATAGACTGGTTAGCAAGGTGAGACCACATGGGATACATGGAGAACCAGCCATTTGGATTTGTAACTGGCTTGAAGGTAGGAGACCGAGGGTAGTGATGGAGGGTTGCTTTTCAGACTGTAGACCTGTGACTACTGGTGTGCCACAAGGATCGGTGCTGTGTCCACTGCTTTTCATCATTTACATAAATGATTTGGATGTGAACATAGGAGGTATGGTTAGTAAGTTTACAGATCACACCAAAATTAGTGGTGTGGTGGACAGTGAAGAAGGTTGCCTCAGAGTACAATGAGACCTTAATCAGATGTGCCAATGGGCTGAGGAATGGCAGTTGGAGTTTAATTTCGATAAATATGAGGTGCTGTATGTTGGAAAGGCAAATCAAGGCAGCTTCCACCACCTTCTCTGGCAGCTCGCTCCACACACACATCACCCTCTGCATGAAATGTTGCCCCTTGGGTCCCTTTTATATCTTTCCCCTCTCACCTTAAACCTATGCCCTCTAGTTTTGGATTCCCTTACTCTGCAGAGAAGACCTTGACTATTTACCCTGTCCATGCCTTTCATGATATTGTAAGGTCACCCCTCAGCTTCTGACGCTCCAGGGAAAATAGCCCCAGCCTATTCAACCTCTCCGTATAGTTCAAACCCTCCAACCCTGGCAACATCCTTGTAGATCTTTTCTGACTCCTCTCGATTAACAACATCTTTCCGATAGCAGGGAGATCAGAACTGAACACAGTATTCCAAAACTGGCCTAACCAAACATATAATGTCAAAAGAAACAGCACCGTAATGGAGAACCTAGGTCCACCAGACAATGTTAAAGGTATAAGCAGCTTTTAATAATCTCATTTGAAACAAATAATTGGAGTTTCCTGAAGGAAGTCTGAGCCATTTAGATTGCTTGACCCTACATCCTAAGCAGTCAGTCAGTGCCACCAATGCAAGGTGATTAGATTGGTACTACTTTTGTTATATTATTGTTTCCCAAGTTAAGTATTTTGTTTCTTCATCCCGTCTGTTGTTTGTTAAGACGCCTTCCTGAATACACTTTATTACCTGCCAGAATTGGAGCATAATTGCATTTAACGTGTTTTTTGGAATGGTGTTGATATTAGCACCTTTTACAAGTTCGTTTTGGTGCCTGCAACTCAACTTTCGATTTGCTGAAACCTTTCCTAGAAATGTGCATTTTAACAAAGGTAACAAGTATTCTCCCTTTAAAAAGAACAAGAACTGTGGTAAGACACTGCTTCCTTCAAGTTAAAAGGCCAGGCGGGCTAAAATACTCTTGCAGGAGAGATGCCATCATCCGGGATGAGTCTGGGCTGAGAATCTTCATCATCAGCAGATCTTGAGGTCATTGCTGGATTGTGATTGTGAGCAGAACTTGGTGGATCATCAGGTGAGTTGAGCTGAAATTGGTGGACCTTTACGCTGGCTTCACCCTAATGAAATTCAGTGACCAGCCAACCAGGGCTATGGCCTCTGCCAGTGCCCACGCCCCAGGCCAGGGTGTCCCCAGTATAGTCAGGGTGACTCTGAAGAAGATGGAGGAAGGATCACAGGTCGACCCGACCTTCATCGTGAAGCAAGTCCTCCTGGATTGCTGCAGTTTCCAACCAGCAAATATTTTCTGTCTGCAGGATTTCCCAGCAGGGACAACACAGTAGCTCAGTGGTTAGTACTGTTACTTCACAGCACCAAGGATTTGGGTTTGATTCCACCCTCAGGCGACTGTGTAGGGTTTGCACATTCTCCCCACGTCTGCATGGGTTTCCTCTGTGTGCTCTGGTTTCCTTTCACAGTCCAAAGATGTGCAGATTAGGTGGATTGGCCATGCTGAATTGCCCCGTTAGATGGATTAGCTATGGGAAACACAGTGTTACATGGATAGGGTAGGGGGGTGGAGCAGAACGGGATGCTCTTTGGAGGGTTGGTGTGGATTAGTGACTAATTCCACTGCTGAATGCAGATTACAAAATCCTGTCTAAGGTCATTGCCAACCGGGTTAGGTATGCTCTGGAACCGATGATTCAGCCCAACCAAACCTGTGCTGTATGATCTCTGAGAGCCTTGCACTCCTCAGGGATGCACGTTGGGATATGATCACCCATGTGCAGGACAGGGGAATGGATGCCTGACTGCCTGACTCATCAGACTGGACCAGGATAAGGCCTTTGACAGGGTATCTCAACCTACGTGGGATGTGGTCTCCAAAATGGGCTCTGGGGACAGAATCTGCAATTGGATCCGACTGCTCTATACCAACATGGTTAGTGTAGTCTCAATTAATGGGTGGCAGTCAGAAAGCTTCCTGATCAAATCTGGAGTCAGGCAGGGTAACTAGGCCAACCAAACTTTTATCCCCTTCGCTGTCAGGACAGCTTACCTGAAGGAGCTTGGAATATGGTTCGGAGGGGCCAGGTCATGCACAAAGTTTTGGGAGGAGCACATCGCCAAAGGAGGCAGAAACTGGGCTTTTAGAAGCACCGCTCCCTCTCCATTGTGAGTAAAAATCTGGTTATCAGGTGTGGGGTACTCCCTCTTGTTGTACATGGCGCAGGACTGGCCCATTCCCAGAACCTGAACCAATGAGTCACCCAAGCCATCTTCCACTTCATCTGGAGGTCTAAGATAGACGGTGTCCACAGGGATACCACGTACAAGACCTGGATAAGTGCAGGAAGAACCTACCCAATGTTGCCCTCACACTGATGGCCATCCTTGTGTGTGGCTGCATCAAGTTGTGTGTAGACCCTCAGTAAGCAAGCACTAAGTGTCACTATGTACTGAGGTTCTACCTGTCCCTGATGTTGCAAAGGATTTGACTGGCCTTGTTGCCACACGATACTCCAGGTAGTTGGACCATTCTGTATCACCTGTCCTTCATGGAGAAATTTGCAAAGAAAAGCACCTTTGTCCACAAGTCCATTGTGGTCAACATGTGGCTTCCTCGAGACCCTGCAGGAAAAGGAGAGGTTGGGTCCTGTCAGGTGGTTATCTGAGTAAACTGTCAAAGTCATTTAGCAGAATGTGCCATCACCAGAACTTTCCAACAGCACCAAAACATCACCTGGCTGGCACCCACACCCTGCGATTGGATTAAAAACAAAATCTTGTTCAATAGGGCCCTGCTGACTGAAAGTTCCTAGGTTCAATCCAGTTTGTTTATATCTTGTATTATGGTTCTTGGGTTGCTATAACTGATCTCTGCATCTCTGTTATAAGAAAGGGGGGAGAAAATCAGCTAGAGTTTTCTCTTCTGACCACAAAAATGGGAAAATGTGCATGTATATGCATACATGTGGAAGGATCTCTACCATTGGGTGAGAATAGAAATGGGTTCAGTTGTGCTATCCTGCACAAGGAACAGTCTGCTACTCGTACTATCCTGGTTCATACACGAAGAATGCAGTCTTGGGAAATTGAAAAGTGAGTCACAGGGATTGAAATTCATATCTTGTGAAAAACTTTTCTACTTTCCTCTGATAAGACTTCAAAAAGATCTTTTCCTTGAGAATTGCTGACATATACAAGCGTGATACTTGCACTTCCTAAAGAAATAGGAATAATCAGCCACAGAATTGTTCCAGCCCTGTGCACACAGACTCTCTTCTTGTGCCTCAGAGCATGAAAGCATCTTTTTGCTATTAATAAAATGGTGCTGTGTTTGAAAAGGAAACAATGAACTATAGCAGATGGTTATTATTCTGTTTGCTGCAGTAATGCAATTTAGCAACTGGATAAGAATCAGGGCAACCTGTTATTCATTTATTGTCCTGCCAATGCATCATTTCTGAGTTCAGCTCACTTTATTAAATTGTTTAAAAAATAGATTTGATTTTGCTGACACTGCTGTATTTTTTCAAAATTATTGGCTCCCATTGCTGCTGATGATTTACTTTGTGCTTGGACTAGCATTGAGGGAAGAGGTAACAGCTTAACTTAGTTGACAGCATTGTTGCTTCGGTGTCAGAAGACTGGCAGTTCGAGCGAATTGGAATGGCATCCTGGCTTGTGTGTACATTTGCCAGTTGGAGCTCTGCACTGACACCTACAAGCTCCAACAGGTTACAAATCCAACCTCATGATACCTGTCCCTGCCATTTCACTTTTTAAACTGAAGGGTTGTGCATAGATTGTGGATGACAGCACTAATGTTGCTGTGATTTGATGAAGTGTGTGATTGGAAGCACTATGTACAGTACTAATATCTCTTGGAAACATACTATGTTGTTACTGTTTCTGATTACCATACAATCATATGGTCATGGACCTAGCTGGGATGGGGCTATGACACAGATTAGTTAAAGCAG